CGACTAACTTGACATCCTTTCCAGATTTCTCTTCCTCGATGTTAGTTCGAGTCGTATTAGATTTCTTCGTCTCGACTCAAGAGCTCCCTAGACTCTTTTTAGGACCACTTGGACATTCAAGAGTGAGTGAATATGTGATATGCTCCTGGGACCTTATATAGGAGAGGTTGCCTTGATAAATGACCAAAACTACATGTATTGATGGTAAGTAGTACGAGGGATAGGATGATAAAGCTAGGTCAACGAGTTCATTACTAGCCAAATGTAAGGCATCCATGATATATGGTGCACATTCATTTTTATCAATCCATGAATGTGTTTTTGGCTAGTTGGACCTCTTTCAAACTTGTTTCTATTTGCTTCTTGCCTTCTATGTCGACTTAGGTTCATTTTTTCCTTCTCCGTTGACTTGTTGACAATGATATTCTGGATGAACTTTCATTGACCGAACCGAGTCGTTGACAAAGTTGGTTTCCTGATGAGTATCTTAAGGGTTGTTCATTGTGTTGGAAGACAATTTGTACTTACTAAAAATAGTTTCAAAAAAGTAGAGAAACAAAATTGAAATGGAAAGGACAGTTTTTGAAAAATAGACAAATGTGTGTGTGTGGGTGTGTCATGGGCACATTAACCACACCCGGAGTCACAACGCTGCCGTCGCCTCGGTCACGCGCCGCCGCCCCGCTTCTCCCCGCCGTCCCTCCCTCCCCAGCCTGCGTCGTTACCATTGCCGTCCCTTCTCCTTTCTCCTCACCTCCTCCCGTTCCTCCCCTGCCATCGGTGGGGTCGCTGCCGCCATCCTTCCCACTGCCGCCGTCTCCGTCCTGCTGCCCCGACCTCACCCAGAACCCTAGCTCGCCCTAGGCCGTGTTTCCGCTGCCGATTGGTCCATCCGTGAGTTGTTTGCTCCCGTTTCCGCGTCGTCGTCTATGAGTCTAGCAGCCGAATCGCCGTCGCCGTCCCCGTCGTCGTCGAGCGGCAGCGACGATTTCGCTGCGCTCCTAGACGCGGAGCTGGATCTCGCCTCTGCCGTCGACTCCGCCTCTGCGGGCGACCCCTCCACATCACCCACAAGCAGCGATGACGAAGAGGACGACGATGAAGACGCGGTGGCCGATGTAGAAACCGTGGAGCAGAGCAGGCAAGTGATTTGTAATCCCCACCGCGAATATGATTGTTGGGCTTGGTTGCTCTGGCTGTGCGGTCACAAGCATGTATTCCACGGTTCTAGTGTTGAATGTGCAGCTTCAGTGTAGTCATTAGCAGGTTTGGTCCTATTTTATCCGAGCGGCGCGGTAGATTCGGTCAGATAGATGCTTGGGGGTCGAGGTTTCTGTTCTGCTTGCAATGTCGTGACAGCTGGATTCGTGTATATGCGTGCAACATTTGACGGGATAGGAGATTTTTCTTATCTAGGGTTTGTTGGTGTTAAAACCGGTTGTTTACTTAGCAAGTTAGCAGTGAGTGCTTCACTTGATTATGTTTAAAAGTATTCCGCTTATTTGAGAATGTGAATTTGATCATTACAACATATTCAGTTAGATTACTCTGTGCCTTACAGTTCACATGGAAAATGTGAAGTTACCCTATTCTGCTGTGGTATGCCAATTTGTTTTTATATTCTTATAAGCTGTTAAGCCTAGCTTCATTCTCACGTTAAGCTTAAGTTAGGACAAGCCATGTTAGAATGTTTCGTGGCTTATATAAGCTGCTGAATTGCTGAAGCTTAGGATTGGCCAATCAGTTACAGGCACTCCATTTGCATGTTGGGGTGCGGAAGCAAGGTTGGTTTAGTCGCCATCATTTGCTGTTCTCTTCTATATCCATCCCGAATGTGTTACATCATCGATTCACAGCAGAATAGTTACATCATCGACCAGGCACAGTAATATGGAGATAACTGGCAATATAAAAAATCATCCCTTCATGAAACCACTGCATGAAATAGTTTAGATGCAGTGACTTTTTTGGGGCAGTGAGAGAGTGTAGTTGTTGATGAAGCATCGTAATACTACTTGGTTAAAAGAGGGAACATGAGGGAAGAATATGGGATAATGCTGTCTTGAGAAAGATCATGATTTGTTTGTAGATTCTGTACTACAGATCTGAAGTATCTGATTGCTGACCCCATGAAAAATGCAGTGCCAAAAGGCGTAAAGTGAAGGTGCAATACCAAGATCGAGAAACGGCAATAAGGCCTGACGAAGATTCCATTGGTATGTTTGTTAGTCTCATTTTTCAAAGCATTAACCATTGGCAGCTCAAGGTTCTGCAAAATAATTTAGCACTTCAAGGGGACATTATTGTGCAATGTGCACTAATTTTTGATAGTTCTAAAGACTTAAGTTATTTCCTTCATTTGGATCATAAAAGATGCACATTGCTATTCAGGTTAATAGCAGAATCTGGCTATCCTTATTTGTAGATGTATGTTCATCTATTGATCTATCATATGTATGAAACACAAACAATTATCCATGTCATGTATGTTGACCCACTTTCAATTTATCCAGTTGCCTAGAAGTGCAGTATGTTTAAAAGCAGTCTTTTCGAAGTTTTCTTTGCTTCAGTTCAATAGATCATAATATTGAATCATTGACATTCACAAGTGTGTCAGATATGTGAATTATTGGATATATGTTGTGGCAGGTTCATCTGAAGATGCTCAAATCAAGATATGTCCTCCACATCCTGGATATTTTGGTGGACTTTGCTTTAGGTGTGGGAAAAGACAAGACGAGGAAGATGTTCCAGGGGTTGCTTTTGGTTATGTCCACAAGGTACATAGACGTGTGACCTTCTCTTCTCACTAACATGAGAGGTGTAACAGAGTCCCTTTACTGAATTTACCTTCTCATAGGGCCCATTTTCTAATATTAGCATTGTATCTCCACCACATCATCAGATATTTGATTTGTTTTTTCTGTTTCCAGTTGTGCTTGCACAGTGCCTTCCATATGTTTTTCTGAATACTGGGCTATTTATATGCAGGGTTTGAGGCTAGGTACATCAGAAATTGACAGATTGCGTGGATCTGATTTGAAGAATTTGCTGCGTGAAAGAAAACTGATACTTATTTTAGACTTGGACCATACACTTATCAACTCGACAAAACTCCATGATATTTCTGCTGCTGAAAATAACCTGGGAATTCAGACTGCTGCATCAAAAGGTAAGTTGTATCTATTTTTATTTAAGTTTTAAGAACTTTTAGCTATTTCTGTACACAGTGTGGCACTACCTTTGGTCCACAATATATGTAACTGAATCCGTCAATTTCTCTCTTCACCTTTAATATATTTGAAATTATTTAAACTCCATAGGGAAATGATAATAGACTTTTAACTACTTTCACCACAGTTTAAGTTTGCAAAAACCAACATCCATGTTCCAAACTAGTTGTAGTATTTGCAGAAAAATGGCCAAAAGAAGTATATATATATTGCTGGTTTTTGTAGCTGGAGTTAGCATAATTTTGTGAGAAAAAGCGTTGTGGACGCATTAGGGAAGGTATATCAGCGTCAAGCTTGGCAAGATACTAGCAGCAGCCGTGTCGTAGTATCCTATTTAGAGTCCCTAGTATCATAGGCAGAGTCCTAAACAGATTTGGCATTGTGTCCCTTAATAAGTCATATGTAACCGAGTTGTACTAGGAGAGTCAGTTTGCTACCCATCCTGATTGCATAAGGGTGGCTATTATATAAGTCCAGTCCCTGTAATCTCTTTGGTGTGCAATAAGAAAACTTCAAACCCCAAACAAATTTCAGAGCCTGTAAGCTTTGGCTGGGACAAACCAAACAGAAACTTGAATGGCGATTTTGCAGCTGCCCCTCTGCCCTTTGCAATCGAAACATGTTTCCGGTATCGTCTTGTAACTCTCCTAACCCAGTTTCGAAGGCCATTGCAAAAGGGTAGATTTAACTTTGCCATAGTTTGCCACACTATTTTTGCCAAACTTGCCCCAGAGCTTTTATATGATGGAAGTAACAGTCTTGTAATACTGGTTCTATTGTATGCAGACTTCTGTTGTACACAGTTATTTTCTTCCACCTAGTGTATCCAGACTTCTACAGTTAACCACTAACATGCCCTATGCAGACGATCCAAATGGAAGCTTGTTCACATTAGAAGGTATGCAGATGCTTACAAAGTTGAGACCCTTTGTCCGTAAATTTCTAAAAGAAGCAAGCAATATGTTTGAGATGTATATATACACCATGGGCGACAAGGCTTATGCAATTGAAATAGCAAAGCTTCTTGACCCTCGTAATGTCTATTTTAATTCCAAAGTGATTTCAAACTCTGACTGCACACAGCGACACCAGAAAGGTCTTGATATGGTTCTTGGAGCTGAAAGTGTTGCCGTGATTCTTGATGATACTGAGTATGTAAGTGCTTTTCTTTGGTGAGCATGTTTGGCACACACTGTTTTCAGTACTTATCATTGGACATGAGTTTATTGCTCAAGGTATGTTATTGGGTTTTATACTTTAGTCACTATGCCTTTCTGGGCAGTGATAATGCTTCAATGTCCAAGGCGCTGCTTTTTTTCTTAACCCTTGTGGTTTTGATGTTTCCTGTTTTAGTAGATTTGTCCATCACCCTTTTGTATCAGCACAATGTGTCTAGCCTGAATGGTACTATTTGTTTCAGGTCTGGCAGAAGCATAAAGAAAACCTAATACTGATGGAGAGATATCATTACTTTGCTTCGAGCTGTCGCCAGATTGGTTTTAGCGTCAAATCTCTGTCAGAGTTGATGCAAGATGAAAGGGGGAGTGATGGTGCTTTGGCCACTATCTTAGATGTTCTGAAGCGTATACACACGATTTTCTTTGACTCGGTTGGTTACTTAAGTACATGTTTTTACCACAAATTATTGTCCTGCTGCCTTTCTGCTGCTGTGCATAAACTTGACTCTAGTAAGCACTGGTGTTTTTACCTAATCAATTGTCCTGCACTTCTGTAGGCTGTTGAAACTGCTCTTTCTTCACGGGATGTAAGACAGGTACACTTCCAGACTTAAGCTGGAAGTCATGTGTATTTTATGCGTCGGCCAACAGAAGTTATTTGTATTTTATGCACCTTGCTTGAGTGGCTTGGCAGTCATCCATGTTGCTTAGCACTGCACCTTTTGCCATCACCATTTTGTGGAATGTGGGCAACCCTACCCAATTCTTACTTGTAAAGCTACTTTTGATGGATATATGATCCAGTGGTGATGAAAACGATAACGAAAAAAAACAAGCAAATTCAGTTATGTAGAATTACAGATAAGTTCTGAAATCACTATGAACTAGAGGTCACTAACTAAATCCTTTATAGTGTAGCCTATTGTGCTTCATACATTTCCGCAGTCACTTGCTGTTTCATGTGTGCTTGAATACCCTGTTCTGTAGGTAATCAAGAGGGTACGGCAAGAAGTACTGCAAGGCTGCAAATTAGTCTTCAGTCGGGTGTTCCCGTCCAGTTCTCGCCCACAGGATCAGTTTATCTGGAAGATGGCCGAGCAGCTGGGAGCCATTTGCTCCGCGGACGTGGATTCCACTATCACCCATGTTGTCGCTGTGGATGTTGGAACTGATAAGGCCCGTTGGGCAGTTAAGAACAACAAGATCCTGGTCCACCCCCGCTGGATTGAAGCCTCAAATTTCCGGTGGCACCGGCAGCAGGAGGAAGATTTTCCCGTGAAGGTGAAGAAGAATGAAAAGGACAAGGAAAATGATGTTGCTGCTGCCACTGGTCCAGCGAATGAAAAGGATAAAGAAGATGATGTTGTTGCTGCTGTCACTGATCCAGCGAATGAAAAGGATAAAGACGATGTTGCTCCTGCTGCGACTGATCCAGCGAATGAAAAGGATAAAAAAAACGATGTTGCTGCTGCTGTCACTGATTCAATGAACTCATAAGATACACAGAATTGGTTAAGTGCACGTTTTAAGGGGATTAATTAAACTTTTGTGACATGTACCGTAGGTACGAGCAGTGGAACAGAAAGCTCAGCATTTTTGGATATGGTTTCGCTGATCCTTTGTGTTAATTTTGGTACTTGCGAACTTCGGCAGCTGGTCTGAAAGCTCAATGGGCCTCAGATCAGAGCATCTCTAATAGGTGCCCTGTTTTAGGGCACCAAAAACGCATCTCCAATAGATGTCTCGTAAAGTAGTGCATTAGTGCTCCAACAGCTGCCCCAGCCGCATCATAGATGCATACATATTGCAACCAAATATTCAAATAATAACTTGTCTAAAACCAATCCAAAACAACAATAATAATAATTTCATCAATCCATGACATCAAATTATTACATAATTCATCAAACTCACAACATCAAATGCAACACAAATACAACAGAGTTTAACACTCAATACAATAAAGTTCATCCACAATACAAAAAACATAGAGATGAAACTAGGAGCGTTGTTGCCCATGCCATGCCAGCCACTCCATGCCATCTTTTTGAAGATCATTATAAGTATCAGACTCTCTAATGTCATGGTACACGTGAATAAAGCGTTGAATTCGGTCTTGCCTTCTGGTTGGTCGCACTGGTTTTCCCATGAGGTGATAGAAGGTGTAATTCAAATTTTGTCCATGCTCGTTCTCATTGATCATGTTGTCATGCAAGCTGTAATGATGTATCAAAAGTTCGGACGAGGATCCCCTGACGTGGATTGTCCTGCCATTGAGAGACTGACACATGGGTCCCACCAAGCATGGGCCCACGTGTCAGCGACCGAAAGGCAGTGAAAGTCAGGGTTGGCTACGTCAGAGGATCCGTGTCCCAAAAGTTCCCTTGATCCCAAAACCTAACCGGTATTCACACAATAGCAGATTAGGATTTCGAAATCCCAAAAGCCCTCTGTGCGTCTTTCCTAGCCGCCGCTTGAGCATTATGAAAGTAGAGTTCTTTTCTTACCTTGGGGGCTTCAATTGGCTTCAAGAAAGTATCCAAAGTTATATGTACATCCATTTACTTGGAAGTTCACCGGTGGTGGTTCTCCATTGGCTAACTTAGTAAAGGGAGGTGATCGGTGGAGCACATTGATGTCATTGCAAGATCTAGCCAGCCCAAAATATGCATGTCAATCCATGTCTTCTGATCGGCCACCGCCTCAAGAATGATAGTGGCATCCTTCTTTTGTCCTTTGAACTTCCCATGCCATGTTGCTGAGCAGTTCTTCCACTTTCAGTGTATGCAATCAATGGAGCCAAGCATATCTGAAACCCACAAGCTTTGTTCATCTCAAAAAGCCTTGCCATGTCCTAAGCATGGGCGTGATCTCAAATACTCTAGACCAACCACTTCTACCATGGCCTTTGTAAAAATTTTGACGAAAAAGATTGAAATGCTTTCTCCCATTGTGAACAAGCACAAAGGTTGTGGAGGAGCAACTCCACCTTGCTGCTACAATGTGTACAACACAAGTGTTGAAGGAACAGCTTCAACGTGTTGCGCTAGATATCGCTCTAGAGGCGAATGTAGGCTGATAGGGCAGCAAGAGTTCAATCCAGAACTCCTAGGGCACAATATCTACTCCAAGATCTTAGATAAGAACAACAAGTTCTATTATAGGTAGGGGTACATAGTCTACATACAAAGTAGAGGCGAGGACCTCTATTTATAGGGCTTTGGGAAGCCTTCACATACTTCTACTTATAGCTGGAATACTCTAGAAACATTATTTAAGGTTCATCATTCTACTCATAGCTACTCACAACTAGAAGACTCTAGAAAACAGTAGGTAGGATAAAGAAAAGAAAATAAATACTAGACCACAACAGAAGTATCTAGAAGTAGCCAAACAGATTTGACATATGATTATATTTTCATGTTCCTCATCTATTGTTCCTCATCATTCTCCCCTGGTTGTTTGGAACTCACCCTCGAGTTATCTTCATAGAGCGCTTCTTCTAGATGGTAGAGAGTCAAGTCCACAACATTGAAAGTGTTGGAGATACCCATATCGATTGAAAGATCTATCACATAAGCATTATCATTTATCTTCCTCACGATAGAGAAGGGCACATACCTTCGCTGCCTAAGTTTCCCTTTAACACCTAAAGGCAGCCTCTCTTTTCGGAGGTAGACCATCACCTTATCACCGACTTGGAATGATTTTGGCCTCCTTTTGCAATCAACAAGTTGTTTATATTTCTGATTTTGTGCTTCCAAAGCGCCGCGAATCTCTTCAAATAACTCGGTGTAATTATCAGCAAAGGACAATGCTGATTTTGAGTTTCCCCTTGATGGCAGCTTCACCAGGTCCACCACATGTGTTGGAACTTTAGTGTAGAAAAAGGCTCCTTCCCGTGGATCTATGCTTGGAGTTATTGTAGGAGAACTCTGCAAGAGATAAAGCCAAATCCCATTGCCCCTTTCTTTCTCCACAAATGCAACGGATCAGATTACCCAAAAACTTATTCACCACTTCCGTTTGTCCATGTGTTTGTGGATGACCAGTGCTAGAAAATTTCAATTCAGTGTTGAATTGCTTCCACAAAGTGAGCCAAAATGCAGCAAGAAACTTGCTATAACGGTCTGAGACAATGGACCTTGGAACTCCATGAAGTCTGACCACTTCTCGAAAGAATAGGTTTGCCACATGATGTGCATCCGTTGTCTTGCAGCATGGGATGAAATGAGCCATCTTAGAGAATCTATCCACGACCACAAATACAACATCACTTCCTCGTCTTGTTCTTGTCAAGCCCAAGACGAAGTCCATAGAAATGCCCTCCTATGGGGCAACAGGAACAGGCAAAGGCATGTATAACCCTGTGTTCTGGACTTGGCCTTTGCAGGTCTGACATACGGGGCACCGTTGAACGAACTTTCCAACATCTCTCTTTAGTTGTGGCCAAAAGTAGCGAGCTTCCAGGTTAGCGATAGTCTTGTCCCGTCCAACATGGCCACTAAGATCACTTGAATGGAGCTCTCTAACCAGCTTGTCACGTAGAGAACTTCTTGGAATGCACAAACGATCATTTTTGAAGAGATATCCATCTTGCATCAAATAGTCATCACCTAATGGTTGGCCCCTTGCATGCTTTACCCAAACATGGCCAAAGTCTTTGTCACCCTCATACAACTCCTTTATTTGATCCATGCCCGAAAGTTGAGCTTCAAAAGAAGTCAAGAGGCATGCACGACGACTCAAAGCATCGGCCACTCTGTTAGTTATTCCAGATTTATGCACGATGAGATAGTTAAACCTCTCCAGATATGCTGCCCATCTTGCTAGCATGCGGTCAACATGCTTTTGATTTCTAAAATGCTTCAAGGATTGATAGTCGCTATAAACAATGAACTCTTTAGGCAGCAAATAGACTTCCCAAGTTTTCAACGCTCTGAAAACGGCGTATAAATTCTTGTTGATAGGTACTCCATTTCTGTCTAGCTTCACTTAACTTCTCACTAAAGAAAGCAATGGGATTCCTTTCTTGAGATAGGACAGCTCCACCTACTCCACTTGCATCACACTCCAACTCAAAAGTCTTGTTGAAATCAGGTAGTACCAAGACAGGAGCTTGTGATAGCTTTTGTTTAATCTCATTGAAGCTAGCTTCAGCTGCTTCTGTCCATTGGAACTTTCCTTTTTTCAAACACTCGGTAATAGGTGCCATGATAGTGCTGAAATTCTTAATAAATCGCCTATAGAAAGTTGCAAGGCCATGAAAGCTTCTTACCTCAGAAATGGTCTTAGGAGTTGGCCATTCTCGAATTGCTTTAACCTTAGAATCATCAACACGAGTGCCGTCACATGTTATGAAGAATCATAGGAAAAGAAGTTGTGTATGCAGGAAAACACATTTCTTCAAGTTGACGTAGAGCTCATTTTCCCTTAGTACTTCTAGCACCTTCCAAATGTGATCAAAGTGTTCATCCTCATCCTTGCTATAGATCACGATGTCATTGAAATAGACCACAACAAAGTGGGATAAGAAGGGTCTAAGGACTTGATTCATTAAGTGCATAAAGGTACTTGGTGCATTTGAGAGTCCAAATGGCATGACTAGCCATTCAAACAACCCTTCCTTTGTCTTGAAGGCGGTCTTCCATTCATCCCCGGGTCTTATACGAATTTGATGATATCCACTTCTTAAATCTAGCTTTGTGAACACTCTTGCTCCACTAAGCTGATCCAACATATCATCCAGACGGGGAATAGGGAATCTATACCTTACGGTGATCTTGTTAACGGCTCTACTATCCGTACACATGCGCCAAGATCCATCTTTCTTTGGCGCGAGTAGGGCTGGTACAACACATGGGCTAATACTTTCTCGAATGTGCCCCTTTTGCAACAATTCCTCCACTTTCTCTTTTAATATATCATGCTCCTTTGGGCTCATTCAATAGTGTGGAAGATTAGGAAGACTTGCTCCCGGAATTAAGTCAATTCTATGTTGAATTCCTCTCATCGGTGGCAAGCCATGTGGCTCCCCAAGTATGTTCTGAAATTCTGCCAATAAACCACGTACCTTTGCTAGAATTTCAATAGTCAGGTGCTCTTATCCCTTTACAACAAGTGCAACACACAAATCTGCCTCCTTCAAGTCTTCCATAAACTCATGAGAGGTATGGGAGATAGTTAACATAGTTTTCCCCTCCTCCTTAGAGGTATTACCTTCGGTTTTGTTTGGTAAGATAATGATCTTTCTCTTGTTCCAAATGAAAGAGTAAGATTTTTCCTTGCCCTTGTGTGTAGTATCCACATCAAATTTCCAAGGCCTCCCAAGAAGAACATGGCTGGCATCCATGTCAACCACATCACACAACACATTGAGCGATAATGCTTACCCAAAGAAAGTGGCAGGTTGCATTGTTTGGTGATCCTCATATTCACTCCTTTCTTGATCCATCCAATAGTGTAGGGATTTGGATGATCATGGGTTTCAAGCTTTA